CCCCCCAGGGGACTGCCGGTGTCCGGACTCGTGGCTGGGCTGTATCATGGAGGACACAGGGTGGGTGCCCGCTCGGGGTGGCACTGCCACGTCCCCTGCACACCCCGTGTCACTGCTCCCGGCAGGGGCATCGCGGAGGGTCCTGCCCCGGTTCAGGTGCCTGGCCGTGCCCCAGGCAGGGCAGGGGGTGACAGTGGCCCCCACCCCACAGGTATTACCTCCCGAGGAAGTTTTCCCGATGCAGCATCGACGAGTACAACCAATTCCTGCAGGACGGCGGCGGCAGCTGCCTCTTCAACAAACCCCTGAAGGTAACGGGCCCCCCGGCCCCCGACCTTGGGGATCACAGCGGGGATTGATGCTCCGGGGGTGGCTCCCGGGGTCACCTGGGACTCGTGGTGTCCCCAGCCCCTGTCACAGCCAAGGTAACGGTGCCGGTGTTGAATCTGGGGTCAGCGGCCAGGGAAGAGCTGCACCCTCGTGCTTGACAGCGGTTTGGGGGTGCTGCCGTTCCCCAGGGATGTGATGCCCTTTTTGGGGGGCTCGTGGCAGCACTTGGCTCGGGGTCCCCCAGAAGCTCTCATGTGTGTGTGCCACGTCTCCCCCTTGGTCCCGGCAGCTCCTGGACCCTCCGGAGTGCGGCAACGGCTTCGTGGAGGCGGGCGAGGAGTGTGACTGTGGCTCGCTGGCGGTGAGCGGGGACGGGAGGCTGCTCACCAGATGGGGGGCTGCTCCCCGACACTGTGGGGGCATCTCGGGGATGCCAGAGGGCTGATGGCTGTGGTTCTGGCTGCTGTCCTGGCAGGAGTGTGCAAGGAGTGGGGGGAACTGCTGCAAGAAGTGCACCCTGACCCACGACGCCATGTGCAGCGACGGGCTCTGCTGCAAGGGCTGCAAGGTGTGGCGCTGGGGGGGCTCTGGATCTGGGGATCCCCTAAGGGTTCTGTCCCATTCCTGATGTGTTGGTGTCACACCCTGTGCAGTACGAGCCACGGGGTGTGTCCTGCCGGGAGGCTGTGAACGAGTGTGACATCCCCGAGAGCTGCACCGGGGACTCCAGCCAGGTGAGTGGGGCTGGGGACACAGTGGGACACATTGTGGGGCCATGTGGCATCACCTGCCCTCTTTTCCACGTCCCCACAGTGTCCCCCCAACCTCCACAAGCTGGATGGATACTTCTGTGAGAATGAGCAGGTGAGTCCAGCCCTGTGTGGTCAGACAGGGCCCTGGAGCTGGGCATGTCCCCGTGGGCTCCAGCATCGGGGCTTGGGCGTGTTTGTTGGAAGAGCATTGGGACTGTCCAAGGCCAGGTCGGACAGGGTTTGGAGCAACCTGGCCTAGTGGAAAGTGTCCCTGTCCATGGAAGGAGGGTGGAATGGATGCTCTTTAAGGTCCCTTCCATCCCAAACCAGTCTGTGCAGGTTTTGGGGTCCCTGTGTGCCCACTGCTGTCCCGTGGCAGTGCACACGTGAGGGTCCCACTCCTTGCACTGCATGAGCCAGGGCGGTGGGCTCGGGGCCAGGCACACGTGTGGGGAGCTCATTGTCCCTGCACCATCTCCACAGCCATGCACATGTGGGAGACCCTCTGCAGCCCCCAGTCCCTCTGCAGCCCCCTCACCCCTCTGCAGCCCCTGGTCCCTCTCCAGCCCCTGACTCCTCTCCCCTCTCACAGGGACGATGCTACGGCGGGCGCTGCAAAACCCGAGACCGTCAGTGCAATGCCCTGTGGGGCCGTGGTGAGTGTGGGCCTGGGGTGGGGGACACAGGGGGTGACAGG